ATGATACATACATATATATGTACACACATGCATAAAAAACGGATTTTTATTTTAGAATATTATAAATAAATCTAAAATTTAAATACAGAACATTTTTATACCCTTGCAGAGGGTATTATAAAATCAGTTAGAAGTTTGCAACGCAGTGAAGGAGACATTTTCGACCCTATAAAATATATATATTCTTGATCAGCATCACTAGGCGAATCGATCTAGACATGTCCGTCTGTCCGTCCGAATTTTTCTTTTAAAATGTAACTTTTTTATTTTGTAATTTGTTTTAAAAATCTTTTTGACCTATTAATAATTTGACAGTTCAGAATTACGCTTTTCATTTTATTAAAATCGCAAAACGATATCTTATAGCTTCCATAGGAACTAGCTTCATCACAGCTTCAATGTTTTTAGACATACAAGCAAGTAAATCATAATATGAACTTCGGCTTGCCGAAGTTTGCTTCCTTTCTTGTTTTTTGTTAGGTTACCAGAGTATTGGGTTGTATAAACATTTTGGTTCACAACTGTTTTCAGCCTTCAGTCAGCTCTTTTACTTTTATTTCGCTGTCTCTTTGCGCCGAATGCAATTCCAAAGTAATCACTTTTTATCTGCCATTCGAAGGCATCCGTTGCTCATCGGGTTGTCTCCGAGTTTTCCACATGCTTGTTTTGATTTGCAACCAGATGGTATCAAGCTGCTAACAGCTGCAAACAATAATCTTATTTGATAATTGGGTTGGCAATGATTCTCACTCTAATATTGATGGAATTAGTAGTAGAGTTAATGAGCTGGAGAAGCTTAACGTGCTTAGAGTGCTTATGTTGATCCCCTCTGCTGAACAAGTCCAAAGTTCCAGTAGCTCCAATTCTGTTTATTTATTTATCTCGCCAACAGAACAATGTTTTTCTGGTTACTTACCTAGACTTAACTAATGACTAAAAATATAAGCTCGGTTCCTGGCGTATGTTAGGTGGAAGGCTAATATATAAAATTAAGGCTCTACACACAGGCTCATTTCCACCATAATTTAACTTACAAGCAGGAATGTAAAACTGCTCCATTGCTTTTAGAGACCTGCCAAAGACAGATAAATGAATGCTATTAAGAAACACTGGAGCATATTCCAGTTTTGTAGTATATGGGTCAAAAACCTGCACAGCAATGCGCTTCACAAAGCTTTTGGAATTATGTAGTTAATGTGTTCGACAAAGAGAAAATTTGGAATCAATCATAATTCCTAAGTCTAGGAACTCATTTTTTGAGTCTACCAACTCTGTTATTTTGGAGCAGCTGACTATCTAAAGTAAGCTGACTATCTAAAACGTAAGAAGAGAGTCGAAGAAAGCAGACGTCAACAAAACGGTCCGTCAAGCCTTTCATCTAAGCCGTGTAAACAGAAAAACCTATAAGTTAATTCGAGTGATACTGTGTTTGGGAAATCAATCGCCACGCGAATAACTTGCAACACTTGCAATTGACCTGTTTAAAAAATTTAAAATAACCTGAAAACGATAGGATTTTTGTTTGTGCAACTGTTTGGTGAGAGCAAATATTTAGTTGCATCTTCGTATTTAATCAGAGTTTAGTGTTGCCGGATTACAACCAATCGTAATCAATCAGTTGTACCCCTTTTTCTGCAAGCAGTTTAACACAGTTAAAGCAATGCTACTGTTAACCGCCTAACTATTTTACATGTAAAAAAAGTTGAAATGGAAACCGGAACTTTAAACATTTCTGAATTGAAAAGAAAGGTCCGAGAATCAGATGCTCCCACCCCTTCATCATCAACTCTCATGGTCCTCATTAATCAGCGCTTCGATGAGCAGACTTTTCAGATGAAGGACTCCGAGGGACGAATCAAATCGTTTCTCCAAGAAGACTTAGCCACAGGTAATGATTTAATAGCTGAACTAAAACAGCGAGTTCTGGACCTTGAATCTGAGTTGATAGCTGTAAAAGGGCTGACCCCCAAGTTCGAAAACTGATCCAGCGAGGTTGCAAACAGTCTTTAGATCCAAGCCAATAACGATGTTGCGGGTGATATAGGAATTCATGGTATTCCATTCACACCTGGACGCCTCATCAATAAATATTATTTCATGTGATTTAAATCGCTAAGAACGCAGGTGTATTGATTATTTTCTATATTCTGACAGATATGAGATATATTGTCCACATGAGCCTTGTATATTTGAAGCTGCTGCTTGGGGGTATATATATACCACCAGAAAAATCGTCTCCTAATTCCCAGAGAGTGCCCAGCAAATTGAATCAAGAAGATGGTCGTCATTTACGAGACGAATAGAAGCGCAACGAGCGTTGCCACTTCTAGGGCATTGAGTTTTAACAAAGTTTTTAATTCTAAATGTGACAAATACACGTCAAACTAGTCCCTTTGATCTGGATGCTGACCTACCAGCAGCGGCCTCAAGTACGGTTCTTCGATCCAAAGGTGTTGTGTAAATATGTGTTAGAGAAACTATACATTGATCCTGATGCCACATACTAGTCAAAAGAAATGTAAATATTTCGATGCTTCAATTTATAATCTTTAAGTTGGGAGTACCTGAATTGCACTTCCCGACTGTGTTTAGGGGAGGCTTTTGACCAAATAAAGAAAAAGTAAGCCAGTTCGTTCACCGGAATAGGCCACCGACAGAAAACATAGTCGTCGACAATGAGCCCCTGCGGACTTCTACCCCAGTGCTTCTTCAAAAAACACCGATAAACGGCGCCTTCGGCGTAAACGAATTTGAGGGACAATTTCTGGTACGTCTTCTACGTATTCCCAATCCACCCATTGCACAACAACAACAACAACATCTAATGCTTCTGCCGACTGTTTTGTGTGAGATTCGCCAAACACATAGATGCGCTTTTAACATTGCTGCTCTCCGAAACAATAAGAACAACTTTGGCTAGAATTTTTGTGTTCGCCACCCGCTTAATGCGAGCATTGTTCGGATACCAGGCACTAGTTGCCAAGCGGTATTGACAATTCCCTACGAATTCAACGTAAAACACAAGAGTTTCACTCCACACTTTATACCTTTTATGCCAATAATGCTCTTCTCGAATTCGCATCTTCATTCGGAACGGATTCGGATTGGATAAGATTGTCATGGATTGCAATATTGACCACCTTTCGCTTTACGAAGCTATTCTTTTCAATTGGAAAGTTATTTGTCTTGTTATTGACTCGGGATATATTTTCATAATATTTCTGGTATGCGAACCGAGGCTGCTTCTGTATATTTGGCGACGTCGCAGTCCAATATTGTTTTAAGCTTGGCTCAACTTAAATTTCGAACTTAACCATTTCAAACTCCACAGAAAATATTTGGATTCTTTGCTCTAGAGGTGGTATCGTCATTATTGCTGTGCGGCGAGCCTGTGCTCCATACCTCATCAATCGAACAGCTGCCAATCTTTATTGGCCCTGTCGTCACACTTGTCGTGGTTGCATCATTCATCTGTCACCTCTGTGGTACCTAAAAAGATGTGTTCGGGTGCCACAATTAAAACACATTTATTTTATGGCTAGACCCTTTCATCACTGTATATTACAGTCCAAATCCAAGTTGATGATGCTGAAGGTCAAACGGTTTAAATTTTCTGAAGGTCAAACGGTTTAAATTTTCTTATGCCAGAAATGTATCATAACACAGGAACACGAAATAGAACTTTTTGAAATTTCCACGAACCAATTGTAAAGGTTCCGCGTTGTTTGACGACATTGGAGTTGCCTAATTTTGTTTTGCTGACACACTCTGGTAATAATCCATCAAATTAAAAAAAAGTGCCCGACTTGAACCTGTTGAGCGGGATGACCATCACCAGCGTAAGTAATAAAGACACACGAAATGATCTGATCAGCTTGATAATTTACTTCGTCCACGTTACAATCAGCTTGCATTGCTTTGGGTAAAATATAAACATTTGTAACACTCCTCCTTATTGGAAGCAACCATATCAGCTCGCTAACTGCCGATTAAACGCCCTTTCATGCACTTCAGCGCATTTTTCATCACACCCAAACAAATACTCTGCGTCCAAAGAAGCAGATGCAGGTCTGCAGCACATAAATCTACAGATCATGTCGACGCAACAAATCCTGAACAGATTGCGTCTCGACAAGAGTGACCTCTTCCAGTTCAGTCGTATTGTGCCTTTGTCAAAACAATGGATGTTGGTTTGTTTTTTCACGCTTTAATGAGATCATTAACGTAAAAATGAATTTAAGCAGTATTATTGTCAAAACCAATGTTGTTCAGAACGCCATCCAGTTAAATCCGTATATATAATAGACTTTTTTAGCAATAACACCTAAAACTAGTCTCTCAGTTTTAAAGCTATATGTATGAAACTTTCCCAAAAGTTGTTTATTGTAGGTAGTACATAAGTCGGAACGAGTCGGATCGGACGACTATAGCATATAGCTCCCATAGGAACTATCGGAAAAATAAATACAAAAAAATTATAACTTTGCTGTTTTTATACCCTTGCAGAGGGTATTATAATTTCAGTCAGAAGTTTGCAAGGCAAGAAAGGGGACATTCAAGAATATTTAATTTTTGCAATAGCTGCAAGGGTATATGAACTTCGGCTTGCCGAAGTTTGCTTCCTTTCTTGTTTTCATTGACCATAATGCTTACTAAAAAATTTAAAAAATAAGACTAAATATCTCTTTGATATTATTAATTCCAAGAAATGCACTTTAAAATATACTGTAGTAAATGATTTTTTAACAAATTAAGGAAATAACTATGAATTAATTGGCACATTATATTGGAATGTTTTTATTATCTTTTTTAAAATACAAATTTAAAAATATTTTAAAATTTTAATTTGATAGTCTGGAATTTTTAAATTTGCCCCATTTCTGATAAATATTTCAAACCCAATTGAAATAAAATTTGTAAATGCCCAAGGCAAAAAAGTCACCGCCTGCAACACCACACTAATTATGTTGAGATTCTAGACTTATAATAAAAATCGAAAATTTGTTCATGCTAAATATTTCAATATTATATTTATGTAGCTTTTAGAGTTTGCAAGAAATTTACAATACAACATGATATACAAGATTGAATTGAATCTTAAATAACTTAATTAATAAAAGCGCTTAACAGCGACCTATAATTGTGATACCTTATAAGCATTAGAAACTATAATGTTCAATTGATAATATGGGCTGATAAAAATGTATAATGTATCGTAATCATAGTCATTTTTGTTCTATTATTTTTTCGCAATTACTCAGTTTTTAGAAGAGTTTTTTGTTACTTCATTAGGTAAAACAAAAAAATTTTATAAACTTCTTTTCCAGGAAAAAACTTATTAATGCAAGAAGGCAATGATGAGTAGTAAGTTATAGCCAGGGATGCCAGGCAGGGTCCATGCGACAAAGATTATCGATATTTGTTGCCGATTGTATAAGCAATGATATCTTTTTATTCTCAATGCTATCGAAATATGAAATTGTATTAAAACGAGTCAAAATAATATCCACTGCTGAATTCACAACGTTAACTGTGTGCTCCATAAAATTTCCGTCGGAATAACGGTCTTCTGATCCCTCGGTGAATTTACATTCACGGAATCCTTTCTTTTGCAATGCAATTATTTCATCTCTTAAAATAGTTTGCAAAATAGAGCAAAGCTTATAATTTGGTTGAATAAAGCATCGAGCTGTAGCCACAATTGCCGCCGATAAAGTTCCAGTTATTCCAATATGTGTTATAAATTCACCCACGTTCGGAGTTAGGCGGAATGGAACTGGTCTATGTTGATTTAGATCGCATTTATCATCATTTACATCAAACTTAAAATAAGATATGTTCATAAGTCCAGAGTCTTGATGAAGGTACATCATATCAGCATTAAGACGAGTAAGGTTAAAAGCGTGTTCACATAGAAAAGCCAAAGCCAGTTGCAGGGTAAACTGAAATAAAGATAGCAAGTAATGATTTATTTGTTTACAAAACAAAAGTATTGCATGGATTATGTTTAAAAATATTTTAAAATGTCGTTAACGTTTATATTATAGGACCTAATTATTATATTTTAACAATAACACTAATACATATTAGTTAAACCAAAAATGCATTTTGTGTTTGCAATTACGTGTAAATTAAATTTAAAACACCAACAGGAATTGAAAATAAAAATTTTAAAATTATACCTTTAAAATTCAAAAAGGCGATACAGCTGATTTATGCACTTGTCAAAGCATTTGCTGATTGGAGTGACATATGTAAACCCAATGAAAATACAACAATCCACGGAGGCAAATATATATACATATAGGTTACTTTTTCTCTAACGGTAACCTTTGTGATGCCCAAATAAAATAATACCACACAAATTTCCAATTAATTGTGCACTAAGTTTATTCTATATGGCACCAAGTCCTTATTTACACAGTTTAATGTTTATATTTAAGATTAGTTGGATCGGCAGGCAGCCCCATTTGTCTATGCCTTTAAAAGAACAGGCAGGCGATCTGCGATCGTGCCTTTAGCGAGCGAGTAGAAAATCGAACTAAACTAAATAGATTCTTGCCGTGGACAATTGCCATTTAAGAGGAGGCAAGTTCTCGTTTTGAACCAGGACGACATCGTTGACTTGTAGCTCAGGTTTGGAGATGCGCCACTTTGATCGTTGCTGCAGCAGGACCTAATACTCTTCATGCAACCGTGATCAGAAGATTTGTTGAAAATAAGCAATTCTCTGCCACCGGTCCAAACGGTTTAAGTTCAGCTTTGTGACATCAGGCTCAGAGTACAACACCAGCGAAACTGTCCCAAGAATGTGTGCAGGAGTTAGCACCTCAAGATCGCCCGGATTCTCGGAAAGAGGCAGTAGAGGTGTGAGTTGGTAATTGCCGCAATGTGGCAAACGAGTGTACGTAATTCATCGAACGATATTAATGATGGAGTTAGCACTTCAAGATCTGCCGGATTCTTTGAAAGGGGGAGTAAAGGTCGTGAGTTGATTATTGCCGCAATATGGCAAACAAGTGTACGCAATTCATCGAACGATAATAAAGATGGGCCAATAGAACGATGAAAATGAAAATGGTGGTTGAAAACGCAATGGTGGGGCAGAAAATATTTGCAAAAACCCAAGGAGTCTCTGGGCACGACGGACATGGAATTCAATTTCAAAAGTTCATGAATGAATGTCGAATTTTAGACCTTGACCTCTGGCTTGCGCTCTAACTTGTTCTCCCAGTTGAGAAACCGACGATAAGCTTGATTGTACGATTCACCTTATTCTAGAGTGTTCTTTGCAGGCAATCGTACGGAATCTTCACCAGAGTCTAAACGACGAAAGTTGGTCTTGAAATGAACCTCACACTCCAGTTTTTCTTAGGCGGCTGTTACCACGCCTTCACCACAGCTCTCAACTTCCCAAAAGTGACGGACTAGTTCATCCATATGAGCTTCAGCAGCAACCAACTCACGCTGCACAGCTTGACCGTGAAATGCAGTTGCCTTGAGAGTAGAAGATCCGCCTCCTGTAACGATAACTGTAATCTGCCCTACAAATAATAGCTCAAAAAACATGCTTGCGCCAATAAGAAGGTCTAATTCGCTGAGATCTAAAGAATTCAGGATCGGTTAACTAAATATGCGAGGGAATTTTCTAACAATTGGGCTATCAGTAATCGTTGGAGCAACCAGATCAGATAGCAATCAGAGGTACGCGACTTTAACTTAATGCAAACGGAGACTCCTTCAGAGTCCAATCGAGCATCTCCAAAACCAGCAACTGATACGGTAGACTTCGTTTTATGCAATAGCAACTGGTGAGCGAGTCGGAAAGTCACAATGTGTACTTGAGATCCCGAGTCTAGCAGCGCCCGGCATGGGCGACTTTGAACGCTTATGACTGCAGTTGCAAGAAAGACAATGTAAGAATCCATGTTCTGAATCAGCAAAGATGTAGAAAGACTTGAAGTAATTGCAATTGGCGTACTTTGTTCTGCAGCGGAAGCTCGCAGAACATGGGTCGAAAACTGAGTACCAAGATGCAAAAGGGTGTGATGCTTGGACCTGCAAGTTCGACAGCTGCTTGACTTACAATTGCGCATTTGATGCCCCTTTTTTCGGCAATTAAGACTGAGCGCTAATTCCTTTAGCTTTCGAATACGCTCTTGTACTGACAGAATGGCGAATTGACAACAGCTATAAATTAAATGGCCACTGTCGTCACACACAACACATCCATTTCCCAAAGTATTAGTGGCAATTAAAATGCTTTTGTTGCGGCTTTTAACTGATTGTGAATTATTTGAGTACGATAATGCAATTTTTGACAACGCTTAGACAAAAATGTAAAAAATTGATCAATCCACTTGGGGCAAACGACTACTTTTTGTGACATTAATTAGTTACTTAAAAACGAAGCAATTTTCACGGGTTTTGTTTTTAAATTTAGTCTACGATACGAAAAACAAGGTTTTATAAAAAAAAATGGGCGAGGTTACGCCCCTTTTTTAGTTTTTTTTTTTCTAAATAATAAACAAAAAAATTTTTTTATTATTCAGAAGATGTTAAAAAAAATACACGGTTGGAAAAAAAATGGGCATGGTCCTACCTTTTTGTTAGGATATAAAAGGTTTTTTTTCTTTTGGGAGAAGTTATTTTCAGAGCAAACGCAGTAATTGTATTGAAAAAAGGTTAAAAAACTCTGAAATAAAGAAATCTATAATTTCGTTTTATTAAAGCTGCACTTGCAGCTTTAATTAGTTATCTAGCATTGCCCGCCTGCAGGCGCTTCGTTTTCTTAGCCAAGAAGAATGCCTTTGGCTGAAAAGATTTGAGTTTCTTTTGCACTTTGCCCCCTTCTTTGTTACATTGTAGCAAAGGCTTTGACTTTTTTTAAACAAAATTGCCTCATCTTGCTTGGAACAAGGACAACGTACTAACGCTTTCCAAAATTCGAAGATGGCAATCTCTTTTGCACTCTTTGTCGCCTCTGCTTTCCATATGTTAAAAAACTAGTAGTTTGCAAATTTGAGGTTAGAACCTAAAAAACTTAATTTCAGAAAAAGTGCGCAAAAGTGCACTTTTATACTAACAGAATAGAAAAGTAATTGAGTAATCTACAACATGTAAGAAGTTTTAGAGTTTGAAAGTGCTTGAATCACTTTGTAGCTCTATTTAAAAATAACAAATCACTACAAGTTTTTATATTTTTGGGGGTTATAACTTACAGAAAATAACAGGGACGTCACAATCGATAACTACAATTCACGTTTACAAACACATATTACAAACCACTATTGTTGGACTGCATGCCAAAAAATTGCACTTGAATTGGTTTTATTGCTTCTTTTTTAGTGTTAAATTTGGAAGAAAAATTTACGCCTTAACAGCGCTCGCTTCAAGTTGCACAAACAGCTGACTTTGACAGCAGATAGCTTAACAGCAACGCGCTCTGTTAAAATTTTGTGTTTGCAACATTTAAGATTAGGATTATTTCTATCCATCGCGAATAAAAAAAAATATATTTAACCACTTTTAAAAAATGGGTTTTGGTCAAAAAATGTGGTCGTTGGCCCCATAGTGCAATCGAAGGAATTTCAACAATAGCTACAGATTCTTTCCAATTGGCCCGAGTTTTACTATCTAATTTTTGGAGTAAAACATGAACAAGAACGCAGTTTCTTTCCTCAACTGAACCCATTGATTGAAGAGCACGTAGATTAGCATTTATTTTATCAGATATATCTCTCAGCTTTGTTGCGGACCGCATGTCGACTTTATGGAGACCCAATATTGCCATTTTATGAGATTAGACGCTTATTATTGAAACGGATATTCTACAAATCCAAGGCTACAGCATAGTTGCCATCACAAATTTCTAATGAGCGCACTGTATCCAAAGCGGAAACCTTCAGGCAAGACTTTAAATGCTGCAGGTTGTTAATGTTAGTGAGCTTAACGTCATTGTTGATGATAGCCATGAACATTGATTGAAAGTCGGTAAATTCAGCAAAGCCACCAGAAAACTCAGGCAATCTCAATTCAGGCAAATGAGATCTTTTAGCCGGCACAGAATGGAAATCCAGAGATGGCTCTGGTCTAACCGTGGTTCTTCGAATTACTGGACGTTGGCGCTTACCAAATTCTCGACTTAGCTTGATTTGTATTGATATGATGAGCTCTTCAAAATCATCGCGATTTCATTAGAATCCAGCTTTTCAAGACTGTCATCGAGCTGTGTAAATGCAGCCTTATTCTTCTCTGAGAGCTTAACATGAAGATCTAATGCATTGGTTCAGCAGTTAAGGTTGTTTCGATTTCGGAAAGCTGCCTTTGTGATTTTCTTAATGTGGGAAATGTTGCGCTATTTACTTTGTATACACAATAATTATGATTATTTAAAGTATATTAAAAATAATGTTATTCAAAAATGTTGACACGTAGGGGCGAGGCAGCCAGTCCTCGGCGTCCCTTCGAAAAAATGTGTTTTGCGGTCAACATCGGAGGGCATAACTGGGTCATTCAAAACAGTTTGGAACCACTAAACAAATACACAAAAAAATTCCGATGTATGGGTGCCACATGAGCTATCAAAAAAAAAAATCATTTGGACCGAATTTAGATCTGTGAATCGCAACAAAACCGAACCGTTTTTGAACCGAATGGTGACTGGTGATGAAAAGTGGGTCACTTAAGACAACGTGAGGCGAAAACGGTCGTGGTTTGAATTTTATGTACAAATAATGGATTACTTTTTACTTGACCTTAAATGTCGTACAGAGATTTGACGACGCGTTTAATAACCAGTTTCTCATTTTGAATTCACCATTTCAGTGAATATTCTTAACTCTTTTAGCTAGTTGAACCTTTTGATCCTCCGTGTCAACCGACTCAGGCCATTCGTCAATGAAAGTGTTTTGGCAAATTGCTTTTTACTGTATCAGGATGA